ATATTTTGGGTGCTGTCTCACCGTTCCTGCTGTTCTGTTTGAGGGTGCTGGCCGAGAGCTGGATGGAGCCGTCGCCCCCCAACTCCTGTGGGAACACGAGCTCCTGCAGCGGCCCCTCCGTGTTCAGCACTGACACCTCCAGCACTGCGGGGGACACGCGTGTGTCATGTGTGTGTCATACACAGCACACACACGTGTCACACACACACACACAGCTCTGTCCCCTCCGTGTTCAGCACTGACACCTCCAGCACTGCGGGACACACACGTGTGTCATGTGTGTGTCACACACTGAACATGGGTCATACACAGCACCCACACACGTGTGTCACACACACACACACACAGCTCTGTCCCCTCTGTGTTCAGCACTGACACCTCCAGCACTGCGGGACACACGGGTGTCATGTGTGTGTCATGTGTGTGTCACACACTGAACATGGGTCACACACACACATGTTACACAGACACGGGTCACACACACACACACACACGTGTCTCACACACACACACACGTGTCACACACACGTGTCTCACACACACACACGTGTCACACACACACGTGTCACACACACACGTGTGTCTCACACACACACACGTGTGTCACACACACACACGTGTGACACACACACGTCACACACACCTGTCACACACACACACGTGTGTCACGCACACACACACATGTGTCACCCCTGGCACACACACGTGTGTCACACACACACGTGTCACACATGTGTCACCCCTGTCTCACACACACGTGACCCCTGGGGGTGGAGGAGGACCCCGGGCAGGGCCCCTGGAGCCCCTGGGGAGGGGGGTCCTGGGGGTCCCAGGGAGGGGTTGGGGGATCCCCCAATGCCCCAGGGGATGTATCTGGGGGTCTGTCCCGGGTCTGACCCAGGTTCTGCGGGTGAGGGTCCCCAGGGAGGGGTTGGGGAGCCCCCAATGCCCAGGGGGGTGTCTGAGGGGTCTCCCAGGGGTGTGTCCCGGGTCTGACCGAGGTTCTGGTGGGTGGGGATCCCCAGGGAGGGGTCAAGGGATCCCCCAATGCCCCGGGGCTGTATCTGGGGGTCTCTCCCGGGTCTGACCCAGGTTCTGGCGGGTGGGGATCCCCAGGGAGGGGTTGGGGGATCCCCCTCCCAATGCCCCGGGGATGTATCTGGGGTTGTGTCCCGGATCTGACTGAGGTTCTGGCGGGCGGCCAGGAAGAGGGCAGGGGTCCCCAGGGAGGGGTTGGGGGATCCCCCAATGCCCCGGGGATGTATCTGGGGGTCTCTCCCGGGTCTGACCCAGGTTCTGGCGGGTGGGGATCCCCAGGGAGGGGTTGGGGGATCCCCCTCCCAATGCCCCGGGGATGTATCTGGGGTTGTGTCCCGGATCTGACCGAGGTTCTGGCGGGCGGCCAGGAAGAGGGCAGGGGTCCCCAGGGAGGGGTTGGGGGATCCCCCAATGCCCCGGGGATGTATCTGGGGGTCTCTCCCGGGTCTGACCCAGGTTCTGGCGGGTGGGGATCCCCAGGGAGGGGTTGAGGAGCCCCCCAATGCCCCGGGGATGTATCTGGGGTTGTGTCCCGGATCTGACCGAGGTTCTGGCGGGCGGCCAGGAAGAGGGCAGGGGTCCCCAGGGAGGGGTTGAGGAGCCCCCCAATGCCCCAGGGTTGTATCTGGGGGTGTGTCCCGGGTCTGACCCAGGTTCTGGTGGCAGCCAGGAACCACATGAGGGTCCCAGGGAGGGGTTGGGGGATCCCCCAGTGCCCCGGGGTTGTTTTCGGGGTTGTGTCCCGGGTCTGACCGAGGTTCTGGCGGGCGGCCAGGAAGCGGGCGGGCTCCTTGACGTTGTCTGCGAGCAGGAAGGCCCCTTCCTCGAGCACGTCGAGCAGCATGGTGGCCGTGTGCGCCTGCTCCGAGCCGTTCATGTCCCGCCACGACTCCAGAGCCTCGGGACGCAGGAGATTGTCCACGGCCTCCACCACGGCCTGCGGGACAGGGGACACGCCCAACGGCATGGGACACGCCCACCAGGATGGGACATGGGGATGGGACACACCCACCGGGATGGGACACAGGGATGAGACACGCCCACCAGGATGGGACACGCCCATGGGGACACGCCCACTGGGATGGGAAACGCCCACGGGGAATGGGACATGCCCATGGGGACACGCCCACCGGGATGGGACATGCCCACCGGCATGGGACACGGGGATGGGACACGCCCACCGGGATGGGACACGCCCACCGGGATGGGACACGCCCACGGAGACACGCCCATCTGGATGGGACACACCCACGGAGATACGCCCATCGGGATGGGACACGCCCACCGGGATGGGACACGCCCACCGGGATGGG